TACTGAAACCTGCATCCTGAGGTAGAGCTTAAACCTGCGTCACATGACTCTAACAGAAAGGACCTTTATCATCTCACAGAGCAAACTCCTGTGGGACACACTGGCTCAGAAGTTTCCACACTGTTGGACAGTTGGGATGGGGCCAGATCGTGCAGAGCCGCCACTGTGGAGTCCCATGCTGACTGTAATGACAGGGACTGTGTGCTGTTTCGTCTCCACTCTTTAATGCTTAGACTGTCCCCCTCAGTTGCAAGATAGCTGCCCCTGTTCAGTAAAACTCACAGGACAATCCTGAACCAAAGAAGTGGTCCTTTTCTGCTCTGTATGCGTCAGGGAAAGCAAAGTCTTTCCCAGAAGCTCACAGTAAACACCCCTGCGTTGCACGGAGTACCCGTTTCCTGCCCGGAGATAGAGACATTATTCTAAACCGCACCCCTTCTTCCTTCCTCCCTCCCTGATGGACCGACCCAGTCTGGTTTCAGATCCGCGTGCCATCCTCTGTCCCTGTGGTCACCACGTTAATTCCGATCCTCATTAACTCAGTCTGTCCACACTGCTTCTGGTGACTTTTCTGTTGCCACCGGAATAACCTTATAAAACAAAAACATCCTTGTGATACCATAGCAGGCTTTCTTTTTTGGACCACCAATCCAAATTATGACACAGAGACTTATTGTTAGTTATGAACACTTGACCTTATCTTAGATCTTATTTTAACCTGTTTCTCTTTATCTACGTTTTGCCTCAAGACATTTTTTTAACCTTTTCTTCTTTTCTGTATGTCCTGCTTCCCTGCTTCTCATGTCTGCCTGACTAGACACTGCCTGGTTTCTGGCACCAGGCACGTCCCTCTTTTTCTCCCTTCTTTTCTTCTCTCTTCTCCTCTCTCTCTTATTACATTCTCTCTGCGCACCAGCCCCTCCTATCCCTTTCCTGCCTAACTATTGGCCATTCAGCTTTTTTTTTTTTTTTTTTTTTTGGTTTTTTCGAGACAGGGTTTCTCTGTGGCTTTGGAGCCTGTCCTGGAACTAGCTCTTGTAGACCAGGCTGGTCTCGAACTCACAGAGATCCGCCTGCCTCTGCCTCCCAAGTGCTGGGATTAAAGGCGTGCGCCACCACCGCCCGGCCTGCCATTCAGCTTTTTGTTAGACCAATCAGGTGCCTTGGGCAGGCATGGTGAAGCAGCAACGCATCTTTACATTGTTACCAAAGGCAGCAGAAACACATGCAATACATTTTCACATAGTTAGAGTAATACTCCTCAACATAGACAAACATAACACACCTTTGCCTAGGTAAACAAATGTCCCACAACATGATGCTATACCGTTGAAAACCCTGCAGGGATTCTTAGTCATCGGTAGGATAAAATCTCAGGTGGTTTCATGGCTGCAATGATGACTCTCCTCCCCCTTATCTGACAGCTCAGTAATCTACTAGGTAGATGAAGAGCTGTACTGGCAGGATGGTGTTGGGGAAGGGCCCAGACCCCAGCTAGGTGGATCCCCTCTCTGGACCCCTGTAAAACAGGCAGAAGGTAATGCCTGCTAAGAAGCTGCAATGACCTGAGCATCAACTAGGCTAACAGCATAAGTATAAATAATGTAGGGGCCATTAGTGGGGACATCCTTCCCCTGAGCATGGAGAAGGGCAAAGGGGCAGAGAGAACTCATAGGCCCATAAGCTCTGTCACATGCATCCACATGCCTGATGACGCCAGGAAATCAGTGCTTCTGTTTACCACCCAAACTAAAATACCGCCGGAAGAATTTCTCCTCTGATTGTGTTGGACAAGTTTAGCCAAGCAGATACTTAGAACGAAGTAAAAGCAGTCGCAGATGAAATTCAACCAATATTAAAAACTTGGAGGGGGGGCATGATTTCTGATTATTTGAGTGTATTTATAGGACGTTAAAATTGCTTTAGTGATATCACTTAGATCATCTTCTTATATGTATATATTTTAAAAGGTTTCTATTATATTAAGTTTCCATACAACCCCTAAAATGGACTTTAATTTTAGCTGCCTCTCCCCATATTCCTTCCCTCATCTTCCTCTTCCCTCACCTCCACACTTGATCCTTCTGTTACAGCCCCCCACATCTAGCCATAAATATCTAGTCTATTTCCCTAAGGAGATCTGTCTGTCCCCCTAGTTCTTTATGCCTAATCTCTGTGGTTCCACTGATTGTAGCTTGGTCATCTGTTGGGAGCTATTTGGGCTGTGGACCCCTGGACCCCGAATTCCCTGTGAGTGACTTGTTTTTCCTGTGCTTGCAGTTGCTCTAAGCAAAACAAATTGTTTTTCCTCTGCTCTGGGCAGCCTGCAGCTGCTCTGAGCATGAGACCTTGATGACGGGCTGGTGGGTCTGCAGCTGAAATATCCCGAGAGCTGGGGCCTGGCCAGAGCCCTATATTAGCTTCCCCCTGAGCACAATAAACTTGGCATTCTTGTATCAAAAGTGACCCATGTCTCTGTCTCTGTGTTTGTATGTTTTCAAGTCTCTCAGCCCAGTTCCTGGCTCGCATACCAACAGACGTAGAGCTGACATTGTATTTTACAGTCATCATAGACTTAACTGCTAATATCCACATATAAGTGAATTCATACCATATTCATCTTTCTGGGTTAGGATCACCTCACCTAGGTTTTTTTCTAGATGTTCTATCCATTTACTGAATTTCAGTATTTCATTTTTTTAATGGCTGAGTAATAGTCTATTATGTAAATGTACCACATTTTCTTTATCCATTATCTGTTGAGGGTCATCTAGGTTGATTCTAACGTCTGGTTGTTATACACAGAGCAGCAATGAGCATGGCTGAGCAAGTGTCTCTGTGGTAGAATAGAGTATTCTTTGGGTGTATGCCCGAGAGTGGTATAGCTGGATCTTGAAGTAGATAGATTCTCATTTTCCAGAGGAACTGCCACCATTTTCCACAGTGGCTGTACAAATTTGCGCTCCCACCAGCAACGGATGAGTGTTCCATTTACTCCACATCCTAGCGAGCATAAACTGTTACTTCTTTTATTGATCTCGGCCATTCTGGCAGGTGTAAGATGAAATCTCAAAATCGTTTTGATTTGCGTTTTCCTGATGGCTAAGGATGCTATGCTGCATAGTTTATGTCAGCTTGACCCGAACTCAAGTCATCTGAGAGGAGGGAACTACAATTGAGAAAACGCCTCATAAGATTAGACTATAGGCCACCCTGTAGGGCGCTCTTGCAATAGTGATTGAGAGGGCCCAGCCCATTGTGGTGCCATCGCAAGCTGGTGGTCATGGGTTCTATAAGAAAGCTGGCTGAACAAGCCAGCAAGCAGCACTCCTCCATGGCCTCTGCATCAGCTCCTGCCTCCAGATTCCTACCCTGTTTGAGTTCCGGTCATGACTTTCTTCTATGATGAACAATGATACGGAAGCAGAAGCCAAATAAACCCCTTCCTTCCCAAATTGCTTTAGGTCATAGTGTTTCATCACAGACATTGTATCTCTATCCCTAACAAAGAGAGATGCTGAACATTTAAGTGTTTCCCAGTCATTAAGGTTTCCTTTTCTGAGGAATCTCCATTTAGATCTATATCCCATTTCTAAATTGGGTTGTTTGCTTTCTTGGTATCTAGTTTTTTGAGAGCTTTATTTTTTTATATATTAGTTATCTACCAGATCTGTAGTTGGTAAAAATCTTTTCCCATTCTGTAGGCTGCTGTTTTGTCAGAGTGGTGGCGTCTTTTGCCATGCAGAAGCTTTCAGTTTCATGAGGTCCCATTTATTAATTGTTGATCTTAGGGCCTGTGCTAATGATGTCCTGTTGAGAAAGTCTTTTCCTGCACCAATGGGTTCAAGGCCATCTCCATTTTCTCTTCTGTCAGACTCAGCGTATCTGGTTTTATGCTGAGGTCTTCGAGCCGTTTGGGGTTAAGTTACCTTCTGACCTGCACACAGGAGCTGTGGTGGGCACGGGCACCCGTCTGCATGTCCCACCATCTCCAGTCCCACTCAACCATTCTTTAACCTAAAAAGAACAGAATGCCACACAATCATAATTGAATGTGCCGATGATTATAACTACGCCCCTGCCCAACCTGTATTTGTTCTTCCTGCTTAAGAATGGAGCCCTCCCTCTAGTTGTAGCTCTGCAGAAACTAAAATGTTATTTAGATGCGGTTTACGTTTTCATCAGGGACTCCGACTTTCTTAATGGGGAAGGAACTGTTAGGGACGACCAGGGAGTGCTTTTCAATGAGGAAAAGAGCCATCGATCTGAGGACTGAGTGTGAGCAGTGCCTTCCAGCAGACACTTGACCATTGACAGTGACAGGCAGGGGACAGGCCAGGTGGAGGAGGCAAAAGACTGCGCACGCAATTCTCTTTGCTTTATTCTTTTTCATTTCGAAAGGAACTGGGGAGAGTTCGGCTTGGTGTGTCTTATGTGGGCTTCAGACAAGCTGGTGCTCTGACCACCTCAGTCTTTCTATATTCAGGCTTGACCTTCCCTGACCCCGCCAGTTCTGTCACAGCGCCACTGGATATGGTTGTTGACATTGCCTCTACCTCAGGAGCCCATCCCACACACACACCCCACCCCCATCCCCAGCGTCTCCAGCTTCACGCTCGTCACTAGAACCTCTCAGAGACTGAGCGCCTATGAGCAGACAACAACATGTACCAATTGTCTAGGGCTTCAAACTGATTGTGATTCTCCTCTAATCCTTTTAAATGTGGTGTTTTTAAATTAAGAGTGGCAGAAACAAAGTGATTTAGGACAATGATACTGTTCTTCTAGCCTGTTTAATGACGGTGAAGCGTGGCTCAGAAAATGAACTGTCAGATTTGATCAATGATGTTGAAGCGAACCGTGCTCATTCCCGGAGTAGCTGAAGTCACACTCCCTCCTAGCGAGAGATGCTTTAACGATGGAAGGGTCTGGTGACCAGGAGACACAAGGGAACGTCAGTCACTCCCCTGCTCACACCCCCTCTCTCTTCTGTCTTGCAGGCACAACGTGTTTGATTGCTCTACTGTCGGATAAAGACCTCACCGTGGCCAATGTTGGTGATTCTCGAGGAGTCTTGTGCGACAAGGATGGGAACGCCATTCCCTTGTCACATGACCACAAGCCTTACCAGCTGAAGGAGAGGAAGAGGATAAAGAGAGCTGGTGAGTTTGTGAGCCCCCCGGAGGGAGGCTGCCATGGTGTCTGGTGGTCTAGGTTCTCACTGGAGAGGGAACACACTTTCCCAGGAGCACACGGGGTCAATATGACCTGACTGTCACCTGGTTTATATTCCTATACTGTACATTTCTTATTCATTGATGAGGACTTCATTTGCCACTCTGAATGGCCAAAGACAGCCCTTCCCTGTCGAAAGTCCCATTTGATCACTGGACCTCTGCTCATACACTCTCAGATGTGAGGTCATCCGCTGGGACCATGGTCTGACTACCGAGGGCCGCACCCTGACAGAAGCTGGCTCACTCCCTTCCAGCAGCTCTCAGTTGCCAGTGGCTTCTCAGGCAGTGGTGCGGCTCTCACCTCCACACTTGAACCCTCTGACGTGAGCTTCCACTTGTGCATTTTGTCACAACTCTTGTGAGTTCATATACGCAGCTATCCCACTGTGTGCAAAACCACACAAGCGCACAAACACAAAGAAATAGCTCCCATGAAGTCATCCACCATCTCTGGCTCTTAGACCCCTTCTGCCCGCTCTGCCTCGATGAGGGGACATGCTCCAGAGGTCCCAGTTAGGGCTGAGCCCTCTGCAGTCTCATATTCTGACTAGCTGTGCATCTGTGACTCAGTTGCCCTAGGACAGTTTAAGGGAGGGCGGTGACTTTTATCATCTTTATTGGAGTTTATTATGGCCCTACACGTCAGGCCATCTCTGTTCCTCCTGCTTAGCATGACAAGAAGCTCCAGCCAGTCTGGATCAGATGTTATATATGTTGGCCTTTCTGTCTCTGCTGTGTCACTGATGGCGTCAGTATCAGCTGCCTTTCATGGTGCTCCCCGTGCTAAGAGCCGAGCCTGATACACCACATATGTTTGTATGCATTCTGGGAAGATGGTTATGTTAGAATCACTTCATAGCCAGTAAACTGGAGCCTCGGAGACTTAAGTTCACAGCCGCACAGCTAGCGAGTGACGAGGCCGGAATGAAAACCATGACTAACTCCAGAGCCCTTGCCCCTGACCACTGCTATGCTGCCCACTGCTCCTTTACGGCTGCTCTGTGATGTCACTCCACGAAGAAGTCCTTCCTCCGTTCTCCCTTGCTTCAGTGGGTAGCGGACACCAACCAGTCCTGGAAGAGTACCACTGGATGCCGGTGACTTCTAACAAACGTGGCTTCTCTCTCCTCCAGGTTTTCAAAAGAAAAATCTAGGTCTTACATAATTTTCACATCCTGAAAAAAAATCCCCTCTACAGTGTAAATATTGAGTAAATATCTGACAGATAGAACTTTGTAAAGGAACAAAGTTCAAGCTCCTTTAAAGAAAGCAACGTAGAAGCCAGGAGTAGTGGTGCACATCTTTAAAGATCCTAGTGCTTGAGAGACAGAGACAGAGGGATCGGAAATTCAGGCCAGCCTCAGCCATACAGTGAGTTCAAGACTAACTTGCGCTCTAAGAGACTCTAGTCCCCTCTCAAAGGAAAAAAGGAAGGGGGCAGGATAGATAGATAGATAGATAGATAGATAGATAGATAGATAGATAACATTGAGTGAATGTGCTGGCGGGCACCAGGCTGTGGGATCTATACAGAACAACTTCTTCTGGTCTCACTATACCACAAGATGAACATTATACTCATTCGGCAGCTCGGAAGATGAAGCATCGAGAGGGGAGCCTTTCTCATGGGGTGGGGGGTGGTGTCACTGAATATGCCTAAAATGTGATTTTACTTAACCCCAGTTCTGCTTGGGACCCACATCAGTGCATCCGAGAGTGGGCTCACGGATTGTTTCAGAGCTGTCTCCCTGCCTGTCCACTTGCTTTTTGGCATTTCTCGGCCCCTCTCCTCGAATCCCCATGCTGCGGATACATGTCAATCACTGAGTGGCCGTGGTGCGTTGTTAAAGCTGATGCTCCGTCCTCACCCATGCTCTCCCCTCAGCATTCTTGCCAGCATTAGCGGTGCCAAGGATGAGAGCATGCAGGTCCATCCCAGGTCCTGCAGCGAAATGCTGTTGCCTTTGGCAAAGGGGAAGGAGGCGCACCTCCCGTGGCTCTGCCCACATGTAGCTTATGGTACGCCCACCCAGACTTTACCAAGTGTGAGCGGTATTGGCTGGGCAAGCTAACCGGCTCACGTGCTTTGTCCTTCCAGGTGGATTCATCAGTTTCAATGGCTCCTGGAGGGTCCAGGGAATCCTAGCCATGTCTCGATCCCTGGGAGATTATCCGCTGAAAAATCTCAACGTGGTCATCCCAGACCCAGATATCCTGACCTTCGACCTGGACAAGCTGCAGCCCGAGTTCATGATCTTGGCATCAGACGGTCTGTGGGATGCTTTCAGCAACGAGGAGGCAGTCCGATTCATCAAGGAGCGCTTGGATGAACCGCACTTCGGAGCCAAGAGCATCGTCCTGCAGTCCTTCTACAGAGGCTGCCCCGACAACATCACAGTCATGGTGGTGAAGTTCAGGAATAGTAGCAAAACGGAAGAGCAGTGAGCCCCATAGGCTCTCAGCTACCCTAGACCAGAGGACTCTCGACATACTGTTCTCTTAATGTAGGAAAAGGTGTGGGATTTATAATTAGGATCATGTGTCCCAACAAAGAGCCCCTTCCCTGGCAACCTGGAATCCCTACCAGGTGGTGAGCAGGGAGTTCCCTGGCTGACACTGTGGAGGGGCTGGAGTCTGTGTCCCCCCAGCCCTTCTCGCCAGTGTTTGAAATGCATCTATAAGTAGCCATCGACCCCCAGATATGAGGCAAAAGGAAGGTAGGCCATGTATTCCCTTTAATGTGCTTTTCATGATCTTTTCCGTGGTCCTTCAGCTTCCTGGGTGTCCTCTCAGCACCCGTGGACAGGGCAGGCCTGTAGCTGCAGGCACCATGCCAGGGCATCTCCTGACGATGTGGTGGTGGTACCCTCCGCCTAGCAGAAACACTTTCCCCTTCTGAGCTTGTGATTTCAGTACTCCAGCAGCCTGTGGAGGAGACTCACAACACTTTATTATTTGTTGCCTGCTCTTGGAGACTGAGGAACGCAGAGAGGATGGGGGGTCGGTGGCAGCTTCCTGCACCCCAGACAGCACCCCTTCCCCACCCCTTCCTTCATTAGTGTAGGAGACTCCGGATACAGTTAACCAGCCCTGTGCCTCACCCATGGAGCACAGCTTTCCCATTTGCCCACACCTCAGTGCGTGAAGGACAGCCGCTGACTTCACCAAGAACCCACAGAAAGGAATGAAACAGGGTGACGAGCACGTGACAGCACAGGGTGACCGTCCATCCCCAGTGAGGAATAAGGCTGGGATCAGTCTCAATGCCCCCCGTGGAGATGCACTATCCACATAGGAGAGGCAGGCATGAGCCCTGGGAATCTCCACTCCACCCTCACCAGCTTCTGCTTTTCCGCACAGCCTTCCCGAGCCCATCCTGGTGGCTTTCATGTCTTTCCAACAGTGTTGGGAGAAACAGCAGCCTAGAATCGCCCAAGTGCTGTTCCCAGCCACCCCAAATTGGTATTTGGTGGCAAACCGCTGAGACATGCTTTTGGGCAAGAGAAAGGCCTTTCATCTTTCGCTGCAAATCTCTGTCCATACCCTGTAGCGTTCCCCAGGCAAACACCAACGGACTGCGATAGCCTGGAGGGAAAATAGCAGACCGGCTCCTGGGGGCCCTGTGTGCGCTGGCAGCAGAGCTGGCTGGGAATGCAAGCAAGAGCCCCAAGAGATGTGCAGCACAGTTATCTGGGGGCCTGGGTTGCTGCTCTGCCCTTCCTAACACCAAAGCTGCGGGGTTTTCCCCGGTCTCTGTGCTTTATAAGTTTGACAGAACACAGTAGGCTGTCCTTCTTGACTGAATGAACCAGCCCCAAACAACCACGATTTTCACTGTAGACCCACGCCCGGAGCCCACCTGGTTTTCTTTCTCAGGGTGGGTGTTGTCAGCGTGGCCTCTCAAGGCCCACCCATTAGCCATCCCTGCCCCGCTGCCCAGCCCTGTCCTTCAGCTGCAGAGCTTGCCCAAAGCCCAGAGGACAAAGGGTACCTTGGACTCCGGGACTGCAGACTGTCTCGACTCCTCCAGGAACTTGCTTTTCATTGACTGCATTGAGAATTAATTATGGTTTCCCAGGGAATTTGCTTACTTTTGTATCCTGTGTTTTCAACATTTGAATTAGGGTCTTAGTTACTGCTTTTCAGAATGTTTTAGTGCAAAGTACATTCTCTCATGTTCCATGAGTGCACTGGCCTGTGGCGACACAGACACATGGATGTATATTCTGGGTCAAGGGTAACAGAGGAAACAGATGTGGGTTCAAGTGATGGAGATACGCTTCTTGATTTAGGATGCTCTAGAGTCCCCACACGCCTCTTCTAAAACTCCAGATTTGACAGTCCATTGGGCAACTTCTTCTTTTGATTTTGTATTTGCTTAACACAAAAGTGTATAAAACAAGAGGAAAAATAATTTGAGAAACATTTATTGTAAAGAAAAAATGAAATAAGGTTTTGGTGAAGAAGAAAAAAGGGAAGATACCAAATTAGCCCACTGGTATTCCTTGAGCACGCGGGCGGTGCTGCCTGCACTAGTTATAAAACCTTCTACTTGAGGCTATGGACAGCTTGTGAATTTTGCTCTGAAGACATAACTTATTTCTAACTGCAACCAAATAGAGTATATATATATATATATATGATATGTATATATCATATATATAAATATAAATTTCCTATTCCTTTCTTGCCTCTTCCCCTCCCCCATGGCTTGTAGACGTTTTTAAAGATAGAAATGCTAAGCAGGATGGTAGCGGTTTGATGAATAGTTACACATCAACCAGAGTACCCTTGCCCTTCCCCGTGTCCTCCTGGAATGCTCCTTCTGACCTGGGTCCAGCTGTGGGGAGTCTGCAGTTGGTTGTGGCTGGGCACACTGGCCACCCCCGTCCTCCAGCGGCTCTGGCAGGGTGGATCTAGCTGCAGGAGAAATGGATCTGAGGGAGAACGTGTGAGGCTTCCATCAACAGCACTGCCAAAGCTTGGGGATCATCCCCCAAGGCTGCCCGGACTCCCTGCCCAGCCTGAGTTCGAATTGCCAATCGTCCCCACGGTGCCAAATCTCGGGAGGGTTTTACAGTGTTTCAGAAATACAGCTGATGCTGGTCCCAGGCCCCGCTAACCACTCCGCTGCTGCTTTCCTGGCAATTTGTGCTCTTCAGGTGGGGGAGGGGGAGGGAGGGAGGGCAGGGAAAGGGTTTTTAACGATTCACTGCATTTGCAGTTACCTAATCATATAAATAAACTATACTAACCTAGAACAACCCAAAGCTCGTCCCCAGGATCTGTATTTTTTTATAATGTGACCAACTTGCCCCAGCCAATCTGGATCACTGAAGTACCACGTGACTGTATGTGCTCACTCCCAGTGGCCAGTGTTAACTTCCTTGCTGTGACCTGGAGGGACTGGCCTCTTGAATCTGGTATGTGTCAAGAACGTTGCCAAGAGAAGGTTGCAGCATAGAGCATCTGCAGGCTAGGTATCTCAGGCATGCTTTGTGGCACACAGTGTAGCGATTTGGACATTCTGCACGGGGGTGCCAGTGTTGCTGCTCTGACCCTCTCTGAAGTGGCTCCAGGGAACCGGCTCCACTATTGCCTAGAGTATCTGGAAATGCACGAAAGACTCGCCAAAGGTGTGACCCCTTTCCTTTGCCAGGTTCACCTTGTCTCTCCTGTGTTTTTGTTGTTTCACTTCATCTTCTTCTTGACTTCAGAAATGCTTTTCCCTCCTTTGGCCCACTGTTACATAATCTTCCCAGAGTCGTCACCCAGAACTGCCTGGGTCTGTCACAGCAGCATCCCCGTTTAGCTCTGGAAAAGACGCCGGTCCCATGCTTCCGCCCACCCCCATGGAGGCTGCAAAGTGTAAAATGTGAGCTGCTTCTGGCTAAATCATTTTTATGGAGGCCTTTGGGCTAGCTGGATGCACCTTGCAGGAACAGAGGAGCCTAATGGCCCTCAATACAGGATAACACATATTCTAGAAATGTTTTTCCAAATACATGGTTTCATTGTCACGGGAGTCAGGGAACTATACTTCATAGTCTAAAATAAATTCATGACTAAGCTAAATGCCATACAGGAGAGGAGAAAATTCATACAAAGCCCTAATACAGTGTCTGTGAGCTTCTTGTTTCCCCAATAACTCGATCCCAGGAAACTCTAGCCCTCCTGACATTTCAACGGGCTCCTAACCACCACTTTGGGATGAGTAACAGTACAGTGTGTAAGCCACAGCAAAGTGTTCCACCTGCAAGCCCGGCTAAGGACAGAATCAGGACTGGCTGCTGGGGTCTAATATGACCACAAGAGTCTCCCATTGACGGTGGGAGCCCAGCAGTCATACCTGAAACTACAGATGTGGCCTCCCTCCTGTGAGTAGGGAACGGGGGCCTTGCCTGGCGGGGCAGTTCTCAGCTGTGCTACCACGGCCTTTGGTGTTCCTCTGTAGCTGTCTTTGATTTCCAGATTAAACCAAAATATTTTTCTCTCATCGTTGATAGTATATGTGTGTGTGTATAGATAGTATACATATATATATACACACATATACACATATATATGTATATACACACACACATATATAATGGGACAAGTACATACTTGATTTTAATCACTTTTAATAGTTTAACTTTTTAAATATATAGTAGAAATGTCAGCTGCTAATTTTAGTACATATCTTCCCCCTGTTCACTACAGATTCCATGAAATAATTTGCAGCTCAGAGCTCATGCATTCTGAAATTCATATCCTGTCTTTTCACATCTCACACACACACACACACACACACACACACACACAACACACGCCCCTGTCAAGTCTGGCAGCTTATAAGCCTTGGCCATTATTTCCCTAGCCGTTATCCTCAGCCTGGTCAGTTTGCTTCGGAAGCTGTGGCAGGTAACCCCAAAACAAGGGGTGAAACAGAAGTGGTAAATCTGGGGTAAAGTCACTAACTTAAAATTGCATCCAACATTTTGGGGGATATACCACCTATACAATATAAAATAGTAAAAACTAAAACTAAAAATAGCATCCCTTAGGCTAGGCTGTAGATTGCAAAGGGCAAGGGCCAGTTGGTATAGTGAGGTCCATAGTTACGTTTCGAAATGTTCCCTAATACAGAAGCTTTGGCGATTCTTAGTAACACTGGGGCTTTGTCCATTATCTGTTTGATTTACCACTGCTAAGCTCCATATGTTAAGCCAGGTGTTGTAATCATTTCATGCATCTGGTAATAACTACACGGTAGAATCCGAGTTAATGTCAGTGAGGAGAGCATGTGCTATTCATTTTGACAAGTCATCAGGGGCATTTCTGCTGTTCAGAATTACATCGGGAAACCAGCATGAAGCAGAGCAACAGACCACATTTAGGGCTATATTCCCGTTTGTTCCCCAAGTCTTAATATTGTCTAACCATAAAATCCTTACACATTTGCCACACTGAAATGAATTTTGAAAGCCTCCAAAGACCGGCAACCAGCACAAGCAGAATATTTAATGGTTCTGGTAGCAGCTTGGGGCTAGCAGGTTTTGAGGAGGGGCAAGAAAATCTACCGGTTCCCCTCAGTGTCTCAGCCCACGAGGAACTTTATCAGTCACACGTTCTCACAACACTCCAGACAATCCAGATGTGGAATGGGTGAGCATGCATCCTTCGGACAACTTAATTAGCTCATTCGTAATTTAAAGTGTGTTCATGAAGAAGCAAAGGGAGAAGCCGTGGTCCAGGGAAGGAGCGGTGGGGCGTGGGAGAAGTGAGGACAGGGAGGAATGAGAACTGTGCCGTGTGCTTTTTCTATTTCTGATCTCAAGAGACTATAAACTGTAATGATCTCATGCCCCAAAAGACAACTGACTATGTAGATGGCGAATTTGTCATTTGGAAAGCTAGCATATGTCAGGAGTACAATTACTTAACTTCGAATGCAAACAAACAGTAAATGACAGATTTTTTAAACAATAATAACATAAATGGTCTCTTAGCATTGCACATTGCAAGCTCTAAACATATGATTTTAAGTTTTATACTTTGAACAAGAATAGTAAAATCTGTATGGGGGAGCAACCAAAAAAGTCAGACTTTTTTTTTTTTTTAACCAAAGAAGCATCACCTTTAACGTTTGTCAACCCCACCTTTCCCTAAACTCTTTGAACCTCTGAGTTACAGTCCTTTGCCTGAGCAGAGCGGACTGGTAAGAACCAGCCTCTCGCTGGACTCTGGAGTCTGCTGCTGTTTTTAATCACGAGCACCTGCAGAAGAAACCTCACCAGCTTCTACAGGATTAAGACCGTAGGTGGGGCCGAGTGTTTAATAAAGGAGGAAGAGGAAGAGGGAAAGAGACACTGTACTAGCTACGCAGTAGTTTCAGTGAGTGGTACCCCAGCTCAACAGTTCTGAGACCAGCCTATGCAGACGGTGGAAATGCTGGCTTTGTATAAGCTGTTCTTGAGATCCGTTTGACATCATGGAATTCTTCCCATTGGCAGCATTCCCTTGCTACTTTAAATGCCAGAAGGGGTTGTTTATCAGAAGGCACCAAGATCCTCAGTGTATCAGCCGTGTTTGAAAACTCCTGACATTGTGTTTAATGATGAAGTCACACGTTGGTGTGACAGCTGCATCAACCAGGCTTTCTGAAGTCAATCCCTAAAACCCATCTGCACATCAAAACCTTGCAGGAACCTCAGAGTGCTGGGGGCTACTTAGAGCTTTCCACTTGTACTGTTGATACTTGTTTCTGAGACACGTGAGGAACAAGGCTGCAGTGGGTTTGGGAGGAGCTCAGAGCCGGTGGCAATGTAGTCCCTCAAGATGCATGGCGTGTCACTTGGTCCCTATGATGTGCTGGGTACAGTTGACATTGTAGAGACTGCTGTGCTCATGCAATCACTAAATTCTATGTTGTATAGAAATGAACAGCTGGAGGAGAGAAGGCAAACACATTAAAGCTATTCAACTGTTTGCTCCTACTATTCTTTTCCTTGGACTCGTTTTCTGTTCTAATGTCTGTTTGGAAAATAGGTGGTTTTGAGTTTTTGCTGGTTTGGGGTTTTACAGAAAAATCACTTCATGGGAGGAGGCCACCTAAACATAACAGACACAAGCGGGAGGAGCTGCTGGCAGTTGGGATCAGGAGTGAGCCTGGCGATGGTTCAAAATCAGCAAGGTTTTAAATATTTATTTATTTATTATGTATACAATGTTCTGTCTGTGTGTGTGCCTGTAGACCAGAAGAGGGCACCAGACCTCATTACAGATGGTTGGGAGCCACCATGTGGTTGCTGGGAATTGAACTCAGGACCTTTGGAAGAGCAGGCAATGCTCTTAACCACTGAGCCATCTCTCCAGCCCATCAGCAAGGTTTTAAATGCATACAACGTAAGTGAGTTCGAGGCCAACCTGGTCTACAAGAGCTAGTTCCAAAGCTACAGAGAAACCCTGTCTCAAAAAACAAACAAACAAACAAATAAAAAGTGGCCTTTGATTGTTTTCCTCTTTTTCATTAAAACAACATGAGCCAGACACAATAACTCACCCTTGTAATCCTAGCACACAAGACTCTGGGTCAGAAGAAGCATAAATCCAAGGCAAACCAGGTGCCTAGCAAGATCTTCCCAATATTAATCACAGATATTAAACAATGGAACCCGCCTTTCCTGGGTAGAATTTTTCTAACAGAATGAAAAGTATGACATGGTATCTTTTGTCACTTGGTTAGAATACATGTGAGAGGCTTCCTCGTCTAACTCTGATGGACTCGCTAGTCACCGGCTAAGGTGAACTCGGTAAGCAACTAAGAAACTGGGCAAATATGCTGGACAGCGGTTTCCCGGAAGCCCAAGGCGGCAAACCTGGGAGGGAGGAAGCTGTCCCGTGAGCATCACAGTTCAGGGCAGCAGGCTGGAGTCCACTGAAGAGGATGCCATTGCAGACATGTAGATCAGGGCAAGCAGAGAGATTAGAATCTGCAGAGATGATGGAGGAGGGGCTGACAGTTCATGTACAGATCCCTCACGCGTCCAGCTGAGGGCTTTACTGCACGGAGCAATAGATAGCTTAACTGAAGTAGCTGCTATAGAGGTTGAGAACAGAAGGGAGTACAGGGGTGAAGCTTTGCTGAGGACTGCCAGGTTCTGATCACCTGAAGTGGAGAACCCTCATCTAAACATGGCTAACACCTGTATGCCATGCTTCAGAAGTAAAGCCCACACTCTGGGCTAAGGCCTACTGCAGACTTAGTCCACATGAGCTTAAAGCGAACTGTTGATAAGAGCTACAAGGAAATCAAAATTGGAAAACTGAGCCAACAATTCCCAGGAGCACGGGACTTAGGCTTTCACGGACTGGCTTAAGTAACCCTTAAAACTCTCCTCTACAGAAAAGGAAAAAAAAAGAAAAAGAAAAAGAAAAGCCCCCAAGTCCAGCATAGTCAGTGAATGACTCAGCTGCTGCCTCCAACTAAAAGCCCAGAAGTCCTCAGAGGAAGAAAACAGTCCAGGGTAGTGTGTGTTTACATTACCCCATTGTTCAAGACAATCGCCTATCAATAAATCACTGCAGGTAAAGAAGCAAGAAGATGTGATTGGGAGTCAAGAGACAGTAGTCAGTAGCAACCAACTCCTTGTAGCTCACAAGGTGTACTTTGAAGACCTTAGAATGGCTGCAGATGTGTTCAGAGTTAAAGGTAACTATGGCCCTAATGAGAAAACAACGTATATCAACAGAAAGATGGAACATTAAAAAAATCAAAACGTATGCTGACTGTGGTGGCACCTTTAATCCCGGCATTCAGAAGAATCTCTGAGTTCGAGGCCAGCCTGGTCTACAGAGGTCCAAACTGGCCAGGGTTACACAGAGAGACCCTGCTTCAAGCAAACAAAATTATCTATTCATCTATGTCTCACCACAAGGCTGTGGCTTACTGGCAAAGTTTCAGCACGTCTGTCTCTGGCAGTGGCTCCATGGCTTCTCCCGACTCTGTCTTCTTCCTCCCAGCATTCAGTTGAGTTTACCTCGCCGAGCTCTGTTCTACCCTGCTCTGCTATAGGCTCAAGACAGTTTATTAACTAATGGTATTCACAACATACAGAGGGGACCCCCACATCACGACGCCTCATGACCTTCTTAGACCCGTTACACAAAAGTTCATATAATGTATTCCCTGGCAAAGCACATCACTTGTGGTAACCAGAACCCACGTTCTTGGCCATGAACATTCATATTTGGATGTGAACGAGAAAGCCAGTTTCTCATTTACTTTAAGGAAGAGGCATTTTTACACGGATGGCGGCACCCGTGAGAAAGGAGTGACATGCTACAGGCTTCCAGGGCCACAGCAAGAAACGGCAACAGTGAAGAGATAGGATGGACCCTGGGATCTTCTGGGCACAGCAAAGGAAGCTTCTAAAGCAGTGTAAGACGGTAAAAGTTATTCAAGATTAGATGATCAGGGATTTGGAGCTATTCGGGCAACACCGCTCTGACTTCTCCATATACACACATCTCGTTACTATTATAAATAAACCTAGGATCATTAAGAAAACCCCACTGCTTTTTATAAATGTTGATGTGTGCCAAGTATCTGAAGGAAGTCCTTGGAAATCTGGTCCCATGTTAACCACACTGGGCTAACCAGGGAGCGGATGGAGTTTGAAGGAGTTCCAGTGAGAACTGGTCTTTGAGTACCCCCAAATCCAAATCTGAAGGCCTCACTTTAACATTAAGGAAGTTACAAGGAACGGTGGCACAATAATCTTAGCATCTAGGAGGCTGGGTGAGGTGACAGGATTGCAAGTTTGAGTCCTGATGGATTAAAAGGTGCAAGGATGTAGGAATTCCAAAGACACTAACATGGGCTAGTTATATTACAGCATCCATCCTTCTCCCCCACCTAAAGCTAGCCCTGCCTACTCCTCTCTCTGCAGTAATGTTCTATTAGAGAATGATGTGGGATTCCCGAGATGGCAGTCTGGGCTCAGCTCAGGCTGGACACTGACCCCATAAACACTCAGCTTCGCTCAGAAACCTTGTAAAGTTTCTGTTTGCCAGCAAAAGCCGTTATGTTCTCTGTGAACTCAAGCAACTCCCCACAGGGCAGAGCCCCATGCTAGTAGTTCCCAGGCTGTTCCACTAAGCTGCCCTCCTCCCTCTGCAACATAACCCCTCATAACTGGCAGGACACTCCCACCATATTTGCTGTCTGCCCCTCGCTCTGTCCCCAGAGGTAGCCATGACAGTCTCCCTCTCCCTCAAGATGGCTCCTGATATTTATCTACAATAAAACCTTCCCCCCTAATTATGGAGCTCTTTTGACGGTGGTTTCTTTACTGAGCCCTAGCTTCCAATTTTTACCAGTGATTTTTTTTTTTTCCTTATCTCCGTAAGAATGGTGTGTTCTAGTTGGGGATTGCCCTTGAACCTGTGCCCTGGTATGAGAAGACACCGGGTGCAGGGTGCTAGGCAATCACTGGCAAGCAACGCGAGCTTAAAGAACACACGGTGGTATTCATACACTCGGGAGTCTTCTGAGACTCCCATAGACTGATGACCCAGGGAGAAGGTCACAGGCCCATTATAGGGAACCACGCAACATAGCAGTCTCCACACAGAATTATAAATCAGCCATCACAGGACCTGACTGCGGGTTTTGAGGTTATATTTTCTGAGGAAGGTTTGAGCTCTTACTACCAGGTAACTAGTAAGAAAGGAGTTACCTGTTCTTTATCAACTCTGAGAGAAAGCTGCTTAATCCCTGGCACCTGTGGACAAGGCGTCCTCTTTTCTCCCTTAGGAACAGGTCCAGCAAGGAAACGCCGGCACTGTAAAGGCACAGGAGATTAAAATCAGACTCGACCTCAGACTTTCGTCTCAATGATGAGCTCGTGACAACAGAAGCAGCTTTTCTTGTTTTTGGAAACTCTTTATTCACAAGTTGATCACTAAGCAGAAAACACACTGGGTGGGTTAACAATGCAGCAGCGTGGATCCTCTGCTTCCCCTTTCCAACTCAGACACTGCTGTAGCATACTCTAATACCACCTTAGCCTCTTTGCTTTTAGGAAATATTTTCCATCACTCCCAAGGTCTGTGGAGGAAAAAAAAAGCACAAATGCAGTGACATCTAGAAACACTGACTACATATTTGTACTACATTTTAAAAAAAGCACGAAATCTTGAATTTTCTTGCTTTGATTCTCCATATTTCTACAATAAAATATCCAACAAAGCTCAGGAGATTGCTGTCAGTCAGTAATAAGCTATGATATCACATTAGTGGGGCTTTCAAAGGTGAACTGCTGAGTGGAGGAAGTAAAACAAAACTCAAATGTGAACGGGGATTCACTATATAATAACACTGAAGTCTCCATAACCTTTAAACACTTAGGAACCTGAAATAACATTAAATACTATCTTATAACTCGGAAATACCACATTGTCAAGTATCCTGTGGATGAAAACAATACAAATGAAATTTTCTTCAATATAACTTCAGTAAAGCTTTTACGAGAAATATATGTGTATATATGTATATATGCATACACACACACGCCCATATATATAAATAATACCACCGAAGCTCCACGCTGAGCTTCATGAGACTAGACTATCTAATAAATACAACTCCGCACGGTTTTGTTGCTGTGGACGAGTCAGCTCTTCTTTCAGGGAAATCTTAAGGAATAATAATCTATAGACTAAGTCATCCAGACGACGTTTGTTCCTTTGACTGCATTAGCAAAACCCTTTGCGTTGCTCCACTCCTCCATCGCCTTTAAGGGGTCCGCGTGAAAGTCTGTGAAGTCAAATCACTAGTAAGTTTATGCCGCGGAGCTTCCGTCTGGGCGTGCTCCCCGTGAGTCTCAGTGTGGGAAGCCAGCACTCTGAGCCCTCCCTGCCCTGGACGTCTGAAGTACGGCCTTAATAATGGCATGTGGTGTTCCTCAGCATGACCTGCCAAAACGTGATGATCTCCTTGGAAGAGAAGCCATGGGCGGCAATCACGCGTCTGAGCTGGCAGACATCCAAGTGGATTCTATACAGAAAGAAGAGATTTGTGTCTTCTGGGATATGAATGTCCACTTTTAACAAATTCAAGCAGATCCCAACATAAACATCTTCAAACTTGATGGGCTTCACATGACTCATCATTTTATAGATCCTCGGTACAAGGTCCCTGGACAGAATGTAGCCCAACCCACTACAGTAGGGAGGGAACACCTTAAAAGGGTACTCCTGATACGAAATATGGTTTTTCTGGAAAAATCCTCTGTAGGAATAGTTGTCGATTAGAGGGTAGCCTGTGAAAAACCTCTCTGAGTGGTTTACGTTTAAAAGATACTTGACCAAATTGCCAGTGTTGATGAAAACATCGGTGTCTGTTTTCATGATATACTTGGCATTGGGGCAAAACTCAATTACCCACCTGAAAGCCATAATGGTTTTCAAGGTCAAGTTATTATATGTGTCTAAAAAATCTTGCCGTATAATATCGCCATAGAGAAGGTGTTCGTCTTCTAGGGACAGCGCTAACACCTTGTCTTCCTTTTCGGCCTGCTGGCCTAATAAGAAAAACGTAAGAACCTCATACCCCCACCAGGACTTCTTTTCACCCCAAGTGACTCTAATTGCTTGTCTGGCTTTCACATCTGAGGGGCGCGAGGTCACCAGGATGACCAGGAATGGGTTCTGTTGAGAGCAGTTCGAATGTTCCCGGAGCGTGAAGCGAAAGTCTTGTCTGTAAATTGGCTCATACTCATAAAAGTACATCCAGTTCACACGCTCAATGACATTGTAGTGGGGAAGGCTGAGGTACCACATCACTAGGAAACTCAGCAGGGACAGCAGCAGGAGGCTCCATTTGAGGGATCGCAGTGACATCCTATTGAGAAGGGTGGTCAAGACAGCCGGGGCCATTCACAGCAGTGGAGCAGTACGGAAGGCACGGGTTCTACAAGACGGAGCGAAGGCTCGGTGAGTGTCCACCTCCTCAGCACACGTCAGTTGCTGTCATCTAGTCAAGAGGAGAGAATGGAGAGAGAAAGCTCCCAATCAACAGTAGACAGTCTGACCTCAGCCTGCCTGGCTACATTTAACACACTGATGAACCACCACCCAGGGGGTGCAGAGCAAGACCCAGGTTAAAACAGACCCAAGAATCATTTTCAAACAACACCTCTCATTCGACACAAATAATTGTAACCCCAGTTATTTGGGAGGATGAGGCAAGAAGATCACAAGTTCGAGGCCAGCCTAGGTGACCTGGAGAGCCCTGAACTCAAAATTAAAAGTAAAAAAGAAAATGAGAGCTAAAAAAATATTCCACAAACAAGAACTAGAAATATCTGTCTTTCTGTCCTTGCTCGTTTTACTCTATTTATGTTGCTTCAAATGCCAGGATTCTAACATTTTTAGCTGAATAATATTCCATCTTGTAGATTACCACACTGTTTTTATCCACTAACCCATCGCTCGGCTCTACAACGGGTTCTGCATCTTGGCTACTGTGCTGCAATACGTAAGCGGGTCTTGCTTGCCTCTGACTGTATCCCAAGCAGGCTTTCTAGACTGTGTCCAAGTCAAGTAACATCACTGCTATCAATTCATCCTAAATACTAATCAGAAAACTGTGTGGGTCCTTTATTATAATATAGAAAAAATATGATTTAAAAGTCTATCATAGGAAACCTTTGAAGTGAAATTATGGCTACCTCATTCAACAGGATACCTTCACCCATTACTTGCAATTTTGCTTCCCATAATTCCTACATTCATATCACTGACTGAAATATGGAGCAGTATACATGATGTACACTTCTTTTGAAAAGAGAGGATGATAAACACCTAGAATTCTACGTGCGTATATGCAGAGCAAGGATGTGCTCCACCAACCCAACGGTCTCGTCTTTGGGGTTGCTGGGAGCTCACGCTCTTCCTTTGTGTGTCACGGGATTATACATGCATTGCTTTGGATTGTCTGTGTTGCCTCTGTAAATAAAAACAAAACACTCGATTTTGGGCCCACAGGGCACCACGTTCCACTGTGGTGCTGAACCTGTGTAGAGGTTGGGAGCCTGAGTGCTACCCTGTCTTAGCTGTACCCCACAAGTGTGACCTTGAACCATTCATGGCATTTCTATCATTTTAAATTTTCTCCTGTTTTAATACACATCATCTCAATCCGGGGCATGCTCTGAAAAGCCCGTTTGGATGTGCAGGTATCTCACAGTGGTGCTGAGAGCGGACATCCACCTAACGGCTTGCTGAGAAAGATGGGTTTTACTGTACCTATTTTATAAGTGGATTTTGGAGTACTCACATGAAATACAAAGAATATTCTCAAAAAGAGTAGGATTCGCAGAGATCCACCTGCCTCGTCTCTGCCTTCACTCAGAGTTCGGAGATTAAAGGCATGGGCCACCAAGACTGGCTATTAAAGGGTCTCTTCACTATGAAAAACACTGACTCTAAGGGGAAAAGGAATGTAAGAAGCAAAGGTAAAACAGAGATTATTAAAACATACGAAAGACTTGTAATCACAGCCGAAAGAATGGAAATAGACAACGAAGAACACAAATAATTTTTTTCATATAGTGAAGAGAATGAACCTAGTGCAGTGGTTCTCAACCTGTGGGGCTTGACCTCTTCGGAGGGTTTAACCTTCACGGGGTCACCTAAGACCATTGGAAAACACAGACATTTACATTATGATTCACAACAGTAGCAAAATTACAGCTATGAAGTAGCAACGGAAACAGTTTTATGGTTGGGGTCACCACAGCAGGAGCCACTGTATTAAAAGGTTGCAGCATTAGGAAGGCGGAGAACCAAGAGGCTGTAGAAAGATGACAGCTACGTTGACTAAGTGCTTGCCCTGCCAACACAGGAGCCATGCATGCGAAAGCTGCCTCCTGAGTGACAAGATGATAGAATACATCCTCAGGCTCCCCCATGCACTCGCATGAACAAGTAAACATGCACAAATTGAAACTGAAATACCAGGTAAAAGTGAGATGGCTCAGGTGGGAAAATCCTTGCCATACAAGCATGAAGACCCTGGTTTAGATTTTCACCACTCACATAAATGGCAGATACAGTATCACACGTTTGTAACCTCACTGGAGTGGGGGAGGCTTGGTAGAGAGGAGTAGACTCCTTGAGCTTGCTAGCTACCCAGTTTAAGTAAATTGGTGAGCCCCAGGTTCAGTGAGGGAGCTAGTCTCAAAAAATTTGGAGAGAAACTGAAGGAAAGGCCTGATGTTGACTTCTGGTCTCCACACATCTGCGCGTGCACACACACACGCACACACACACACACACCCCTACCTGCCTGCAAAAGAACATCATAAATGAGAAACTCTCCACACTTTGTTCAGTAGGAATAAGGATGAGGATAAACACAGTTTTTGCTAAAACCATCATATGTAAGAATCTATTCTAAACTGGGGTGAGAGACGGCATAGTGATTCAAAGCGATTGCTGCTTTTGCAGAGGACCCAGGTTTGGGTGCCACCACCACTTGGCTCACAACCATTTGTAACTTATGTCCTCTTTGGTCTCCTTCTCTGTGGTACACTTTCACACTTGCAAGCAAACATTTATGCACCTAAGATAAAAATGACTAAATAAAATACTTAAAAAAATAAAAACTTTAAAGAAATTTAAAAAGAATAGATAATAAAAAATGACTAAATAAAATACTTAAAAAAAATAAAAACTTTAAAGAAATTTAAAAAGAATAGATAATATAAGCCTTCAGCATAACTAGTAGAAGAATAAATATGGACATATATCTTCTGAGTTGAATGATGGAAACAACAAACAAGTCAAGTAAGCCAGCTATTGACGGGAAGACGAAAAAGGGGAAAGCAGAGAAAAATGTATGGCAAAGAAAATCACAGAAGCCAGCTGCTGTCAATGCGAACGGACATTAGTACGGGGCAGTAGCTCACCTGAACCACGGGGGTTTTCACAGCTTGGCCCAAATTTCTGCCACATGCTACGTAAAAGGCTCACACCTAAAACAAAACACAAAGTGTTTAAAACTTAAGAAACAGGAAAGCATGTGCTAGGAAAATGCCAATCAACAAACTAGCCATTCACATCATGTTTTCTAAGTGATTCGCATTGAAAAGAAACAAACACTTGCCGCGAACAAAGTATCTATATGACATATCTCTTTTTAGCCATGTGTTTTGTGTGGGCCCCTAGTTAAGGTGAGCTACTGCCCCATACTGATGGACGTTTGCACTTAACAGCAGCTGGCTTCTGTTTTCTATGTGCCATGCGGATGTGATTGCATGTGTGTTTGGAAGTATGTGAAGGTCAGAGTTCAACGAAAGCACCCCCCACAAAGGTAACTAACGACCATAAAGCTACATCACACACAAAAAAAGCATCAGTGTGGGGAGCCAGACTGACCCAAGACTTCCTCAGCGGTCCCGATGAAAGGACAAACGTGACCTTAGTTCTGTGTCCTTGTCCAGTAGCCGGCTAGTCAAAGCTGGTCTTGGGCTCAAGCCAGTGCCTCGAAGAAGTCAAGGCTGCAGCTTCTGGAGACCCGACTCTTCCCTCTGGGCTGTGGTTATCAGTCCTTGGGTAGCCGTCGGAGGTGCTGCACGGTCTCTCTGCCGACGCTGTCTAACACAGAGCTCTGCTGACCTTGGCCTTTTTCCTCCTGCAGATAGTATAAAATAAGAAGTTGTGCTTAATAAACTTCTTGGGCCAGGTGTGTTTGCACTGGCCTTTAATGCCAGTACCCGAGAGGCAGAAGCATTTGGGTTTGAGGCCAGCTTTGTCGACAAAGCAAGTTCCAGGACATCCAGGGCTACACAGAGACACCCTGTCTTGAAAACCAAAAGGAAAAGGAAAAGGAAAACATTTGTTTGGCGCAAGTCATCAGCTTCTGCCAGACCCCCAGCCCCAGCTATTGCTTTTGTCTTCCCATTCTCTCTATTTCTCATCCCTGCTCCTCCCACTCAACACCCCACTGGAATCGGGGTCCTGATTCCAGCTGGTTTGGGACATTACATGAGTTGGCCATCTTAAGTCAGGAGTGATAAAGCGGGCCTCTCGGCTTCCCTCAGCCCCCCTTGCACACGCGCTCTCGGACACATCCCACTTCCTTCCGCTCTACGTGAAACAGCATACAGACCCTCTTGAGAAGCCAGACGAATAATCCTTGCCTTAAAATCTGAAAATTACACTTATTTGTTGGTTTTGATTGTACATACACGGTTGGGGACTAGAGAAGAACTTCCAGGACTTGATAGAGAAGTGGATCTTGGGGATGGCGCTCAAGTCATCAGGCTTAGTGACAAACGATTACCCACTGAGCTACCTCACATAAGTACTGTGTTTATAGCATTTCCAACCCTTTCTCTCCCATCCACTCTTCCCTTGTCCTCTTCACTCCCTCTCAAATCGACCACTTTTTATTATTTGCGCGCGCGCACACACACACACATTTACAAGGTAGAAGCAGGAAGATTGAGTTGAGAGTTTGAAATAATCTTCAGCAACATAGTGAATTTAAGGCCAGCCTGGGCTATAGGGTAAAACCCAGTCTAAGCAATTCTCTCCTTGTATTTTACTTAGGGTTCTACTGCTGTGAAGACACCAGGACCTCAGCAGCTCTTCTAAAGAAAACCATTTAGCTGGGTGGCTTCCAGTCCAGAGGTTCAGTTCATTATCGCTATGGAACATGGTGGTGGGCAGGTAGACACGGTGCTGGAGAAATCGCTGAGAGTTCTACATCTTACCCAGGCAACAAGAAGTGAACTCAGACACTCGGCAGTATCCCTCAAAACCTGCCTCCACAGTGACACACTTTCTCCAACAAGGCCACACCTCCTAATAATGCCACTTCTTTTGAGGCCATTTTCTTTCAAACCACCATACCCTGAAAACAAACAAAACACAAAAACTACCACTGCCCCTAAGGTAAGATATGTCTTTACTTCTGTATAAAACCTGCAGACTTATTTTCTGTCATTATTCTCTAAGAAACACTGAGAAACAGCTAGGCATTCCCATTTTAAAACACTGCATTGGGCTTTTAAATCTGTAGTGTGCACAGACTGCATGCAAATATGACACCATTGTAGATAGGGATTTGAGTGTGAGAGGATCTGGGAGCCCACAGGAGTCCTAGAAGCCCCCGAACTTGTTTTTAAAGCTACATCAAACATTTACTTAAAAAGAAAAAAATACAACAACAACAAGACCTGATACTAGGTTACATATTGTGCTGGCTAGCTCTATGTCGACTTGACCCAAGCTGGAGTCATCTCAGAGAAAACAATCTCTATTGACAGATTGCCTGCATACGACTGGGGTTTAGGCAAACTTGAGGACATCTTCTTAATTTGTGATTGATGTGGGAGCACCCAGGCCATTGTGGGTGTCACCACCCCTGGCCTGGTGGTCCTTGATGCTCTTAAGAAAGCAGGCTGAGCAAGTCACGGAGAGCAAGCCAGTAAGCAGCACACCTCTGTGACTTCTGTAATGGCTCCTGTCTCCAGGTTCCTGCTAGGTTTGAGTTCCTGCTTTGGCTTCTCTTGATACGTAAGCCAAATAAACAAACCCTTCCCTCCCCAAGTCACTGTTGGCCATGGTGTTTCATCATAGCCGTAGTAACCCTAACTAAGACACGGATGTCACTTGGCAATCCTAAAACACTAAAATACAGGCTACCTTGTTTACCCACAACATGAACGCCAATGTCCTGTGTGTGTGTGTATGTGTGTGTGTCCTGCCCCCATCGCTCCCTCCCCACCCCTTGGCAATCCTAAAACACTAAAACACAGGCTACCTTGTTTACCCACAACATGAACGCCAATGTTCATGTAATTTGAAAACACATTTAAAAAAAAAAATCTGTTTAAGACTGGAGATACAGCTGAGTGGTAGAAAGCCTGCCTAGCCTGTGATTGCTAGACTCAACTTCTAGCAACACAGACACACACGCACACACACAGTCACACAGAGTCACAGAGTCACACACACACACACACACACACCTTCTTTAGAAACTCAAAACGTTTGCGAATACAATCCACAGAGGGTCTCAATCACATTGTAAATTATTTTTTAATCTATAACTGAACATCAACAATGTAGTACATTTCAACAACTTAGTGGGTCACCAACACCTAATTTGAAAATTATTTCCTGGTGTGTGGCCAGAAAGCATTTTTTCCCCACTTCAAAGGATGATGCATAGTTTACGGGAAACCAATAGCCCTAGTTGATAAGGAAATGGCCTTTTTTACAGAAAAACTGAAGCCAGAAATGTCCTTGAAATCACTTAATTGCAAAGCTACCATTCTGCGAAAATAGCAAAGATACCCTGTGTCTACTGGTATGAAAAGACTCCCAGACAATATGAAGTAAAGAAATTAGAGGTGGACTAAACAATACTAACATTGTTTACATTTATTTCTCCTGCACGTGTGTGTGTGTGTGTGTGTGTATGTGTGTGTGTGTGTACTCACATACATGTGGAAATCAGAGAACTACTTGTGGGGTCAGTTCTCCCTATCTACCATGTAAGTCTAGTGTGACAGGCTTGCTGGTAGGGCTCTTATCGGCTGAGCCACCTCAATGACCCTGTCATACTAACTTTTGTATTAGAAAATTTAGAATATATATATTTGTGGTGGTTTGAAATGACCTCATAGGGAGTGTCACTATCAGGAAGGGTGCCCTTGTTCGAGTACATATGGCCCTGTTGGAGGAAGTGTGTTGTGTCACTGGGGGCAGGCTTTGAGGTTTCAGATGCTCAAGCCATGCCCAGTCTCTCTCTCTCTTCCTGCTGACTGCTGATCTGGATGGAGAACTCTCCGCTCCTTCTCCAGCCCCATGTCTGCCTGTGCGCTGCCATGCTATGGTGATAATGGACTAAACTTCCGAGCTGTAAGCCAGCTCCAATTAAATGTCTTCCTTTACAAGAGTTGCCACGGTCATGGTGTCTCTCCACAGCAGTGGAAATAAAAGACAATGTATGTCAGAAAAGTAACAGAAAGAGACATGTGATAGATGGGAAGAAAGGGGTAGATCAGAGAAGGGGTGAAAGACTTTCTAATGTTATAAGCTGTAAATGTTTTATTAAATCTCTTTACTTATCCTTTATAAATATATTGTTTGGTTGGTTGGCTTTTGGGCTTTTTTTGTTTTTTGTTGTTGTTGTTGTTGTTGTTGTTTTGTTTTTGACTTTTTTGGACAGGGTGTCACTATGTAGCTCTGGCTGTCCTGGAACTTACTATGTAGACCAGGTTGGCCATGAACTCATAGAGATGCACCTGCCTCTGCCTCCCAAGTACTGAGATTAAAGGCCTGTGCTACTACGCTTGGCTATAACTTTATATATTTATCCAGTGTACTAAGGTCCTACTCACACTGTACTACCCTCTGTTACCCCTCCCACTTCTGCTGAACCCCCTTCTTCCCACCTAGTCCACCTTCTGCTTCTTCCTAACCCGCTGTTTATTGAAGGCCACCTTACTAACGCAAACGCGGTAGGGTGTTATTTACTGGGATGTGGGTAACCTAGCCAGTGGCTACACCACTGAAGAAAATAACCCCGCTCCCTTCCCTGCAGTAATATTAACTGCCAAAAGTTCTTCCTGGAAGGGTGGGGCTCCATGAAACCGTCTCCCATCCATGATGGAGTGTTCTGTTCATGCTTACAAGCACCATGTCCCTTACACCTAACTTTCAGCTTTTACAACCTTCCTGCCCTCTTCCATGATGCATGCCAGTGTCTCAATCATTCTCACAGAAGGAATGGGCATCTCAGTTACTGAGCCCAAAATGTCCAACCTCTCCCACTTTCTGCTCACGCCCAACTGCAGCTGCATCTAACCCACAGACAGATGCAGTAATCTTAGAAATGCCTGGGACAAAAAACACCTGGAAGTAATTCAAACAAACCTAAACTACGTTTTTTGTTTTTTGTCTTCCCAATGGAGGGCTTCTCTGAGATTTCAACATGTATTCTCTAAGGATATAATATGCCATGTTTATTACGTTATTTAAAAAAGAATCTGTTTCAGCTTTTGTTGTCTCTAGCAGGGAGGAAACCATTCAGAGAAATCTGGTCCTGGGAGACCTTCATAGACATCCCATTGAAAAGGCTTATATTAATTATTCTGAGTAATAGTTTGAAGCAAATGCAAATCAGCTCAATTCCTTTTACATAATTCAGTAAAGCTGAGCCTTTATTTTTCCTGTGACACAGCAAGTCCATTCCAGTAGAACACTCACATTAATTTGTCTGTACAAAACACCACCGAGAAATGTGCAAATGGGGTCCAAGTCTTCATGAGTGAGGGATCCTCTCCCAAAGTAAACAAGAAGGCTCATAACAGCAGGCCAACTCAGAACCTGTACACTTTTCTGTCAGTCACACCTGAGAACCTGGCAGATCCTTCTACCCAGCTGTCACTGTTGAGGTCAAGGTAAGCAGCTGTCTACACAGACCTGCTGACTTGAGGCCCGGCAACGGTTCCCGTCATGAGAGCCTCAGGTCATGACCTGATGTGTTTTACCTTAATGTCAGGACTCAGCATCGGTGTTTCCCCGGCTCAGCTTTGAGTCCCTGTGACTTTTTGTGGGCCCACCAATATCAGGGGCCTTGAGTATCAGCCTTAGTACCCCCTCGCGGGCTCAGAATTG